GATTAATTTATTATTTTGTTAAGTGTTGCTTGTCTTTGATAGCTAATTCTATCAAATTTCATTAATTCAGTAGCAAATTTTACTGACAAAAATATATACAAGTTACTATTTCAAAGGCAAATTCAGAGAAACATTTAAAAACACACTGACATCAGATAACTGACAGTAACTACTGAAAACACTGCCTCTTCTCTAAATATTGTTATTTTAATTTTATATATATAAATGTATTACCTGCATGTATGTAAGTGCACCCATATTATGCAATGTCCAAGAAGGTCAGAAGAGGGCATCAAAATCCCTGGAACTGGAGTTACCAACAGCTATAGCTGCCACCTGGGTGCTAGCGAGCAAATTGGGTCCTCTTCAAGAGCAGCCAGTGCTCTTAGCCACTGAGTCATCTCTCCAGCCCCAACACTGCCTTTGCTGTGTCTTTGATTTTCAAAATATGGGATTTTTATTTCATTATATGATTGTCTTTGTTTTTTGAGACAGGGTCTCACTATGTAGTGCTGGCTGGCCTGGAACTTGCTACATAGACCAAGCTGGAGAACTCATATAGATCCACCTCGCACTACCTCTCGAGTGGAGATTAAAAATGTGTGCCACCATGCCCAGCCTACATTTTATGGCTTTAAAAAGTTTTCTTAAATTATGTGCAAATGCATGTCTCCGTGTGAGTGTATGCCACATGTATATGAGTGCTCACAGAGGCGAGAAGAAAGCATTCAATCTCCTGGAGCTGGGGTCATGGATACTGGGAACTGAACTCTGGTGCTCTGGAACCTCAGAAAGCATTCTTTACTTCTGAGCCATCTCCCCAGCCCCTCATTTTATGCCTTCAAAGAGAGACATCAGTTTTCTTCATACCACTGGGTTATTTTCAGTCACAGTAACAAACTTAAGTCTCTGAGTCACTAAGGACAAATCTTAGATTTACTTTTACTTTAGTAATAATTAGGCTTTGTTTTTTGAGATTGGTTTTAGTTACGTAGCCCAGAATGGTTTCAGACTTCTGAAGTCAAAAGATCCTCCTGCCTGGGGCTCTCAGTGCTAGGACTAAAAGTTTATCATTATATTCAACTCTCATTAGTTTTTGTTGTTCTCATTCCGTTCATTTGTTCGTTCATTCATTCATTCATTCATTGTTGTTTGTGGATCCACGAATATCAGGTAAATATGTGGAAGTCAGAGGACAAATTTATAGGAATTAGTTTTCTCCTTCTACCCTGTGGGTCCAAGGCAATCAAATTCAGGCCATGAGGCTCAGCAACAAGTATCTTTATGCCATGAGTCAACATGCCAACCCTTTTGTTTTGTTTTTTGTTTCTGAGATAGTCTCACGATGTTGACCCAGCTGGCCTGGAACTTGCCATGCATACTAGTCTGGCCTCAGACAAGGCTGGCCTCAAACTCAAGAGATTCACCTGCCTCTGCCTCCCAAAGTGCTAGGATTAAAGGCAGGCACCACTACACCTGGCCCACTTTCACAAAAATTTTATGTTCCTAATTTTCCATCATACCTGTTCAATTTTTTCCACTGACATTTGCCATGTTATCATAAAACAAAAATATCATAACCTTAATCTAAGGTTATAGAGCAGAGATTATAATCACTGATTAATAAGAAACTTTTCCCAGCCTAATGGTAGTGATTTTTTTTTTAATCTTTCTGAGACAGGGTCTCTCTATATCCTCAGCTGGCCTGGAACTCAGAGAGATCCACCTGCCTCTGTGCTAGGACCAAAGGCGTATGCCAAGCCAGGCGTGTTGGCGCACACCTTTAATCCCAGGCTGGTCTACAAAGTGAGTTCCAGGCCAGCTGGGGCTACAGGGAGACCCTGTCTCAAAAAGAACCCTCCCCCCAAAAAAAACCAAAGGTGTGCGTCACCACGCCCAGCTGGTAGTGATTTTTATTTTTAAAGTTAACAGGCTGGGCATATCAATATTTATTGAAATACTGAAAAAAAAATCCATTTTAGTGAGAAATTCCTGGGAAGAACAACTAATGTGACAATACGTATTTCACTGATACAGTAGGAAACATCAACAAGTAACTGACTTCACACTATAAACACTACATGGATTCAAGTCCAAGGCAGCTACAGAAATCTTTAATACAAATATTCAGTCATTACAGATTGTTTGTTCACAGAGACCAACTCTAATAAACCCAGCACAGCCAAAAACCTTTCTACTTGAGTCTGTTTTCACTAGTGAATCCCATAATTGATAAGGCAGTTGGCTAAGTAAATATCTGGTTACAAACTGGTTAACAACAGTAGTGATTTTTACCTGACCAATTAGATCTTAACTACTATTAAGATGTTCTACCACACTGCTAAAATCATCACTGCAATTACCACTATCTCTTAAAATATAATAAGTTTTCTTATATAACATACCATTCTGGCACACTTTGGAAAAAATTCATTGCAGCTTTAGAGTTTTTCATAATGAGACTCACAAGAATTTTCTCCACTCCAAGATGAGGAAAATAACTATAAGGAAAAATGAAAAGTTTCACTAAAAAGACCAGCTCTCATTTAAAAAATCTTAAACATCTACATGTAGTTATAAATTATGCCCTACAAAATTTGCATCTCAAATTAAAGTTACTTTCATTTAGCCTGAATCTCCTAGTATCTGAACAAGACCTTACAGAGGACACACACTATGCTACTGCCATTTCCTATGCTGCTAGGAAGCAGATTTGCATTTTTCTTATTACTTTTATCTTATGTGTGCATGTGTTTTACCTGCATGTATGTAAGCACACCACATGTATGCAATGCCCACAGTGGCCAAAAAAGCACGTCAGATTTCCTGGAACAGAAGTTATGGTCAGTTGTTAGCTGCCATGTGGGTGCTGGAAATCAAACCAGGGTCCTCTGGAAGAGCAGCAAGTGCTCTTAACTGCTGAGCCATCTCTCCAGCCCCAAGATTTATAATTTAAAAAATATCACTTCTAGGACAAAATATATTCAATTAAAGCAAAAGCAGTAAATTCTGTCTTTCTGTCACTAAGTTCCAATTTCCACCTGTAGAAGGGCTAAATGGACCCAATCAAGGGCTTAAGTCCTATCCTATTCTTTCAACAAATTCACCCAGAACATACTCTTATTATGATTAAGGTCAGATAATGGACTGATTTACTGCAACTCACTAAGAAACACCCAACTTCCTAGGGAATCCTATGCACTGAGAAAGGTTAGCAAGTGAGAAAGATCATCTTGTATCCTACTATGGAGCAGGTGATCATGATAATTTACTATATATATATGTTTGGTTTTGTTTTGGTCTTTTTGAGACAGGGTCTCCCTGTAGCCCCAGCTGTCTTGGAACTCACTATGTAGACCAGGCTGGCCTTGAACTCACAGAGATCCACTTGCCTCTGCCTCCCGAGGGCTGGGATCAAAGGCGTGCACCACCACATCCAGCTACTATATTTTTTAAAGAAGGCGGAGTTTGAATGTGTTCACCATAAACAATTATCTGAGAAGATCTGTTTACTCTGGTTTAAACATTATACAATATGTATTCATCAAAATATTATGTGGTATCCTATGAATGTGTATAATTTATATATATATATATATATACTATATACATATAATATCTGTTAAGTCTTTAGAAAGAAAAACTATACAAAGTAACACACACACACAAACATATGTATCCTTCATGAACATCCCCCTATATCCCAGAGTGAAATAACCTCTTATTTCAGAAATGATCCAGGTTCAAAGTCACAAATTACTGTTTAATATTTTAGGGCTAATGCTAGGAAATTCTGTCTTATGATTCTTAACTAAAGTATCTGGTAACAAGTATGTGGAGGGAATCTTACAAAGATGAGACAAACAACATACGCTAAATGAACTGCAATTACCTCTGAAGAACTGGAGGCAATTCTGTACTGTCTTCTAGGTCAGCCTCTAACTGATAGAACAAAAGCCATCTCATTATTGATTCCTTTAAAGAAAAACTTCTATTTACTTCACATGTATTTTGCTCTGTTTCCATTTTTTTTGTGTCTGGAACTACACAGGTGGTCAGGGCCAAAGTAAGACAGGAAATTGAAGAACTAAAATAAATAAATTAAAAAACACCAAGACAACTGTTAAAAGCAAAGTATGCTCAGGACAATATGAGACACATGTATTTTGTCAACAAAAGTTAGAAAGGTTACATTTGAGATTAAAAATTTTCATCCAATAACAATACACAGAACTACAAAACCAGGGTCTATGAATACTGAATAATTACAAATTAAAAGAAATGTAGTTTATAATCCTTTAAAGAAAACTGGCCTTAATAAAAATCTCTCCATATTAGAAATTGAATTTATTATATTTAGGAATTCATTATTTTTGGCCAAACAACAAAATTAGAATTATACCTTTTTTCTTTTAATGTTTTTTAAATGAGCTTTTATATGTTTCATTCAACAGGTTCTTAATCAAATTTAGACTCCTCTCCCTTCCATGCCCCCCCAACCAGACCTCATGTATTCCACCATACATGTTCAGCCCCATCCGGTCAAGCATTTGTACTCAGATTTTTTTCCTTTTTTGAGACAGGGTCTCACTATGTAGTCCTGACTTGCCTAGAACTTGCTATATTGACCAGACTGGCCTCAAACTCACAGAGATCTAACTTCCTTTGCCCCCCAAGTACTGGAATTAAAGGCATGCATTACCACGCTTGGGTTAAATTTACTACTTTTTTCTTTTTTTTGTCTTTTTGAGACACAGTCTCCCTGTAGCCCCAACTGTCCTAGAACTCACTATGTAGACCAAGCTGGCCTTGAACTCACAGAGATCCGCCTGCCTCTCTCTCCCGAGTGCTGGGATTAAAGGCGTGTGCCACCATGCCCGGCCTACACCTTTAACTGAAGTAACAAATTATGAAAATGATCAAAGATGTATGTGTGAACACGTACGTGCACGCATCTGCAAAATCTGATACAAAACAACCTACCTTGAAGGTTTACAGGCTGTGCCAGTAAATAACTTCCAGAATTCTCTGTCAAGTTCCACTAAACTACCTTGAATAATGGCCCGAAGTAAACCAAAGTTTTCAGTTTGTATTTGTTCAGAACTTATACCACAAAAGGTAACAGACCAAATTTTAAGCCAGAGTTTTAATAAATCTGACTTTTGAGAGCTTTCTAGGCTTGATTTCTTGCCTTGACACACAGCAATTTCCATAAGGCATCGTAACACATATGGTGTGCGTTCCCCACGTCGCTGTTGAGGTAGAAGCTGGTACAGTATCAACAGTAATGGAGACAGCTCACAATTAGGTAAACTAGAAGGATACTTTGATATTAACTGGGCTGTAATCTGTAGCCTAAAAGAAAAAAAATTTTTTTTAATCCCATTAACAACCTAAAAGAAAATAAATATACATACATTAAACCTTTACATATCCTAACTAAGCATTTACCTGTACTATTTTCCATAATGTTTTCAAAATAAACTAGCTGTTAGAATTTACTAGGTCCTAAGATGGCAGGAAGTATAACTTTCTGGCTAGCTAGATAAGCTATGTCCTTTACACAAAAACTTTAAAAAAAGATTCTTGATCTGTCACTTTCTGCAATAGGAAAATAACATCTAAAAACCGTTATTCTTCGACACCAATTCACTACTTCAACAAAATGCACTGTGAAACGCTGTGAAATCTCTAGACTGTGTGCTATTTAAGAATATGAATCCTGTGTTACTGCTGTATGTCTAAAGCTTTGTCTATAAAAGCTGCTCAATAAATAACTTTCGCTAAATGGGAAAATTAAGAACCTGAGGTAGAACCATCAAAAATATAAAACAAAAGCTTAAGTATTAAGTAACAAAATTTAGAGCGCTTCCCTCTACAATTCCATTATACCTAAATATCCCAGCAACATGGAAAACACCAAAAAAGAAATAATTACTAAACATCTCAGGGATGTTGCTTAACATTTCTATATTTAGTCCTTTTTTTTTGTCTTTTTTAATCAGGGTCTCCCTGTAGCCCCAGCTGTCCTGGAACTCACTATGTAGACCAGGCTGGCCTTGAACTCAACAGAGATCTGCCTGCCTCTGCCTCCCAAGTGCTTGAACTACAGGCCTGTGCCACCATGCCTGGCTGTTTAGTCCTTTTTTAGCAAAGCAAACAGGCTAAACTAGATATAGTCTAATGATCCTTATCAGATCTAATATTCTGTGATTCCAAAAGAGTTCTGAATTTAATTTAAATGTTTAAATATATGTAATGGAGAATAAAGGAGATAGTAAGGAAGAAAAAACTGTTATCACGGCAAAAAGTCAGAACTATCCTGATTCCTAAAGGCAATCTTTAATTCCCTGCTAAACTAATTCTACATAAAGGAGCTATACAACTGAAAATCTCTTGCTGTGGAGGTATTCCTAAGGCAGAAATTGCTGGCTCCTCCTACAAGACTCAGTTTTCCCTGCTGCACCTATGTCAGCTGAAAGGCAGCTCTGTGCAAAGCATTAGCAAATAAGTATTAATAATTTTCTCAGTATAGCATGGCAATCACCTGCCACTTTGCTGCTAAGTGGTTTGGGAGTGAACAAATGACAGTTCTGGCCAATGAGATAAAATTAGGCTGCTGAAGGTTTTCTAGAGCCAAAATATTATTAAAATGACATTGAATGAGAAAGGCATTTTACCAAGGCACAAGATCAAAATCATTCTGTGATTTCTGAAGATAATCTTTTATTACTTCCCAGCCTAGTTCTATTTTCCTTCTCTTGCAAGGCACACTGTAATCGGTAGATTCTCGCTGTGTTATAGCAGAGGACTGAGAAGTCTCCACGGACTGGTTATCTTCATTAAAAAGCTGAAAAATAAAAGTAAACCTACATTTTACTGCTGTATTAATTTTATAGTAGATAATTAGTGAAAAAAATTCTTGTCACAGGAAAATACAGAGAACTCATATGGAAGAGTAAGTTATAGAAATATACAAATATACTAAGAGTTAAAAATTTTGTATGACAGTAATGACATCTTAGAAAGCAAATATTAGCATGTAAAGCATCAGGTTTTATTTCCTGGGAACATTTACTAAAATTACAAAGAAATCTAAAAGTGCAAAAACCTGTATTTCCAAAGGGATTAAAATGTAAATTTAAATTTACGATTAATGTTTAAGACAGCAAAACTATCACCTGGAATATTAAGCAAATCTTTGGGTGAGAAGTTTTATAAGAAATAAGAGGCCATTACTGATACTTAGGAATCACTGATATACTACATTAAGTGAAGGAAAAGGCACAAAGGACCACATATGCATGATTCTATTTCTATGAAATATCCAAAACGGGCAAATCATTACACAGACATTAGAAACAGATTAGTGGTGGGTTACTAGAGGCTAAGGAAAACAAATAATTGAAACAATGCTAATAGGGCTGAAGTTTCCTACTGGGATGAAAGAAAGCCTTTGAAATTAGATAGTGATTGTAGTTTTAGAACAAACCAATGAACTGTAAAATGCTAACAAATTTTATGCTATATTCTTTTTTCTTTTCTTTTCTTTTTTTGTCTTTTTGAGACAGGGTCCCCCTGTAGCCCCAGCTGGCCTGGAACTCACAATGTAAACCAGGCTGGCCTTGAACTCACAGAGATCCACCTGGCTCTACCTCATAAATGCTAGCATTAAAGGTGTGAACCACCACTCCCAGCCTATGAATTCTAATTTTAAAAATTAGGTTAGGGTCATCTTTTTACCTATAGAGAATCTTTTTTTTTTTTAAATAAACATTTTATTATTTTTATTTTATGTGTATGCATGTATTGCCTGGATGTAGGTAAGCACACCCGCATCATGCAATGCCTGTGGAGGATAGAAGAAGGTGTCGAATACCCTGGAACTGGAGTTACAAACAGTTGTTAGCTGCCATGTAGGAGCTGGGATTTGAACCTGGGTTTCTGCAAGAACAACCAGTGTTCTTAAACGCTGAGCCATCTCTCTAGCCCTTTACCTATAGACAATCTTTTAAGAATAAAAAACTTATTACTTTTGAACACATGCACGTAAGAGGTATCTTTCAATTAAAAAGAAAATTCAATTTATGCATATTTTTAAAGCAACTGTTACAGTGATTTCATAGGCTTCTTGAGGTAACACAAGTTTCAAATGCCCAACAAAGAAGAAAATTAACAAGAATTTCCAAACATGACAACAGCTACTATACCTGGTGACAAATATCTGCCATTAGGGCAATCAAATTTTCCTTGACAGCAATATTACGAGATCCTGAAGAATATTTTCCTCTACTTCCTATATGACTTAACTCATTCACCAGCAGGTCATATAAGTTGTATAAGATACTTTTCCATTTTGTTGATTCATAAGCACCTGTAATCCAAACAGACAATGTATTTATATACAAACTCCATCTGCACTGCCAACTCCCAAACCCATTCAAACTGTCAAGGTACATCAACATTAGAAGATGTCCAGTCAAACCTTCTATTTGGTATTAATGCCTCTTCTGACATTATGATTGACAAACTCTACTTCCTAATGGTGTTCTCTTCACAATCAGGCAACTGTATTTGTTACAAATTTCCTCACATCCTTATCTAAATTTTTATTATCTCCCATAAGAAAACAAAATTGTATGTTCCTTTTTTAACATGAGAAAACAGCTTTGTGTTTTTCATTGTTAAGAGAAAAAAAAGCATGGGGGCTGGAAAGCTGGCTCAACAGTTAAGAACTGTATAGGACACAAATTTGGTTCCTTGTACCCATGATGGGCAGTGCTGTGGTTGGCTTCAGAAATCAACTAAACACAACCGAGAAAAGGGAACCTCAACTGGGGCATTTCATCTATCAAACTGGCCTGTGGCCATGTCTGTGAGGCATTTTCTGGAGTTGAATGATGTGAGAGGGCCCAGCCCACTGTGGGTGGTGCCACCCCTGAGCAGGTGGTTCTGGATTGTATAAGAAAGCAGGCCGATCACAGGTCAGAGGAGCAAGTCAGTCCAGCCCTGCTCCATGGTATCTGCTTAGTTCCTACCTCCAGGTTCTGGCCTTGAGTTCCTGCCTGACTTCCTTCAGAGATGGACTATGAAGTGGATGTACAAATCAAACAAACCCTTTCACCCCTAAGTTGTTCTTGGTCAGTGTTTTATCTCAGCGACAGAAAAGTAAGTAATATAGGACACCCACAACTGCCTATAACTTCAGCTCCAGGGGGATCTGACACCTGTCAGCACTTGCACTTACATGGACATAATTAAAAAAAAATTTCTTTTAGGATAAAAACATTTCTAGTTTTGTCAACTACTACATAAATGATGGTATCCATTTATGGTGGCTATTTTACCACCCTAGTCATCTTTCCAGTCAACTTATGTCCCTCTTAAAAAGCAGAGTCTACAGGGTCTGGCCAACAATACTCTAACTGTCTGATCAGTGCAGAAAAAAATAGAGGTATTAATTCACACAGTAAAAATAAATTATTATACACTGAAAGAACATGAAATTTTTTTTCTGGCAGCCTCATTAGCCTAACAAATTTTCAATTTGCTCTAAATATGCAATTAACTATATTCTTAAACATGTTATATTGTCTCTTAATAAGCCTGATCTTCTCTTGGTGAGAGCTGAGTAAAAGATGAATACTGAGAAGTCATAATCCTTTTGATTTATAGTACTTTCAAGGGCTATACGCCTATCTAAATTTATATATAAGGAAATTCTGGTAACAATACAGAAGTTATTTTAATAGAAAGTAGCGACAACAGTACTGCCACCCTATGCAGTAGGCTATCTGTGCAAAGCCATCATTACTAACCATGAGGCAATAGTCCAAAGACTAGTGCAAGCCCAAAGTCAATCACAGACAGACCATCCAGGAGCTCATTTAGCTAGGTTGCCACCCAATGAATTGAATGATATAATGAAGAGGGCTAAATCATCTGAACAATGCTCTTGGTAAAGACAAATGCAAAACAATCAGGGAAGACAAGAGACTCATTTCTGTGTTGTTCCAGAAAATGAGCCTGGAGTAACGATGAGTCTGTCCCATTCAACCTCACACATCCATGAAAAATGTAACTTCCTTGGAAACCGAGTAACTGGATTGGCTGTTTTCAGTCTATTTATTTTCTAATAAGAAGCAATATGAAATTAAACAAGTTCCCGCTTTCTCCAAATTCTTCTGCCTTATAGCCTGTGTCACCTCTTAATACTGTACTAGTGATGCATAAATAGATTGTACAGGGAACAGGCAATGTCTCATGTATGTTCTCAGCATAATACTTGGCACTTTACTGAACAAATGGAAAGGCATGATATAATTCACTGTCATTGATTGATATTCTTAAAATACATGAAAAGCATTCTAATGACATTATTAAGCAAAGAAACTTCATTCTCTTACACAACAGTGATGTTTTGATGAAGGAAGTATAGTTAAAACAGTAAAAATTTCTGCTATACCTTTTTCACTGGTTTTGGCTCCTTGTGGATGATGGATATAAATTTGCAGTTGAAATAATTCAATTATTGCTTCTTTTAAGGAATCATTGAGTCTATGTTGAGTCCAAATATACAGTAAAGTAGGAAGAATTTCTTCTCCTAATTCACACATTCGTTTTCGAGAGTTGACAGCCAAAGTCTTGAGGAAAATGATAAGGGCTGCTAAGATATGACTTAGGCCTGCAGAGCTCTTTTCTTGTCTGCAACAGAAAACAAAGTCTACCCAGTGATACAGGAACATGCTAAGGAAAAAAAACCCAACAGTTCTTCCTGAAATAGTATCCTTAGGTTCAACATCATTTTAGGAGAGAGAAAAAAGAAAACATCACTAAACAACACTAGAACACTAGTTCCTATGGGGAGCTAAGAGACTAATCTTGTTAGTCCTCCCTGCTGCAAAACTACTCTTTAAAAATATATGTGATTTATTTGTAATACCCATCATTTATAAAATGTTTAATACTGTAATTTGGAAAATGCCACACAAATGTCTATCAATGCTCTCAAAATATACTGATTCGTTCTCAATATATCTATCCTTAAAATGGAGAAGATGAAGTTACTTAAGTGATATTTAACTTTCCTTGTCATCAAATAAGCAGAAGAATTCATATTTAAGAACATCATTTAGGGGGTCTATATATTAGGATGAATTCAGGGAGAACTGAACCTGATCCTTTAGGAAAATACTAGTTCTATTATGAGTCAATGATTTCTTCTTTTTTTTTTTAAACATTTATTTTTATTTTATGTGTAAAAAACGGTATTGTACATTCCTACCAATACAGCAAGAGTTATCTTTTTCCAAAATCCGTGCCAGTATTTCCCATTTCTGTATTTTTAGTTATAGCTCTTCTAATTAAGGTTACCTAATTACCTCATCTCAGTATGATTTTGACTTGCATTTCTGTGATAACTAATGAGATTGAGCATTTTTTCATAAATACATTGGCTATACAATTATTTTTCTTTTTTCTCACTGTGCAGACCAGGCTTGCCAGGAACTCACAACCCTCATACTCATAGCCTCCAGATTACTGGACTAACATTGAGTATATGCCCCAACATGAGTCCATTATTTTTGAACAATGTGGTCTTTGTTACTGAGTTTCGAAAAGTCCTTATCTGTACTATGGTAATCTTGTCAGAGCAACAGAGTGCAGCACGTCTCCCATATGGCAGGCAGATTCCTTATCTCCTTGCTGTATAGAAAGAAGCTCTGTAGCTTCCATTTATTTAGGTTTGTTTTTGTTTGTGCTTTGCAGATTTTATTTTAAAAAAAACCAGTGCCTATATCAGTATCTTCTTAGAAGGATTTAGGGCGGTGTGTACATACAGAGGCCAGAAAGCAGCAGCACGTCTTTCTCTCATGCTCTCTGCCTTATTCTCCTGAGACAGGGTCTTTCACTGAACCTGGAGTTTGTTTTTTGGGGTAAGGCTGTGGCCAGCAAGATTAACCTGTCTCTGCCTTCAAAGCTCCCCAGAGGCCATGGCCTCGCCTGGTTTTTTATTTGGGTACTAAAGATCAGAACTCTGGTACTGATGTGTGTACAGCAAGTGTTCACTAATACCTCCAAGCCATTTCCTCAGGCCCTAATACCAATATCTTAAAGTGTTTCATCTGTTTTCCTTAAGTTTCATACATTCAGATCTTTGATCCATTCTGAGAATTTTTTGAATAGGGTGAAAAATAGAGGTTAAGCTGCATACGAGGAATGAAATATCAAATAATATAGTACATATTAAGAAGAAATTGAATATTCAAACAAATATTAACTATTCTGACTTCACCATTATATAGTGTATACTTGATTAAATTATTAAATTATATACCATAAATTTGAGAAACAAAAATAACCATTATCTAAAAGGGAGCATTTTTTACTTACTGAATTTAAAACAGTCTTGGCAAGAAAATCTTACAAATTTTCAATACAATATAGAACAGAAATTAGATTACCTTGCATACTGAATAGCCGTGGAAAAAAAATCAAAACACTTTGAATTTAAGCCATCAGTCTGTGTACAGCACCCTCTGGTGACAGCATGAATTATTCTAGCCACTAAAACTCGATTAATGTCTTGTGAAGGTTTGAGATACAGCCTGAAGTACACAGAGAACAATTCTAAAAATTAAAAAAAAAAAAGTTGAGCCATTTTTTTTAAATAAAATATGTTCAATACCACAATTCAATTTAAATATTCTATAATCCCCACAGGCAAAAATTACTCTGTATTTTAAAAAGTAACCCATCAATATTTTATATAATGTCTTTAAATTGAAATGACTATAAGCAGTGGTGAGAGCATCAGTTTTAACAGCCAGACCTCATATAAGCAGCCTAAGTTCTCTAAGCCTATGCTCCTTTAGCTGTACTAATAAAGTCCTTGGCAAAGTCGAAAGTCCACACAGTTCGTAGTGTTATTAATGCAGTTTAATAAGTACAGAATAGGCCGCAAACTATGAACAGCCTCACATCTTACTCAGCTGGTAGCCTAACAAATAAACAGCACAACTGTTTCATGAATGCTGGCAGAACGCAAGAGATCTTGCTCAAAGAAAAAGGAAAGTTATCACATCTCACAGCAATGACAGAGGTAAAGACTTTCACTTTTGCATCAGTTCTCCAATCCCAAAAGTCACATGGAGACATTTGACCCAAATGAAATCACTAGTCTTTTTACAATTCAATGGGCTAGACACAAATCCATCCTTTGTGTAGGAAGTTGTCATCTCCACCTTCTAAGGTATTCACCATACAAAATATTCTTGAAAATCTAGTGTAGGAAAAAAATCAGCCCTTACTCCCAGCACTGGGGGGAAGGGACGGGGGCAGGTGGATCTTGAGGCCAGGCTGGTCTACATTGTGAGTTCCAGGTCAGCTGGGGCTATATAGTGAGACCCTGTCTCAAAACAAAAAGCAAGATGTCTTCTGACCTCCAAACACACCTGTAACACACACACATGCACACACGCACCCATACATACACACACACACACACACACACACACACACACACACAATTAAAACTGCTTTTTAATTAAAAATGTCATTTTAAAAGACATTTATGCAACAGTTTAGAAGACCTTTAATTCACTTAAAACAAGAAAGAATAATGTAGTAGTGGGGCACTAAGTAACTCATGGTTTTTTTCATTTATGTGTCTCATTTTGAAATGGGTGTCAATGATTTGAAATATTCAAATCAATGAACTAAAATATTTCAGTCTCTGACCATAACTTCCTTCTTTCTGAGCTCTCAACATTATCAGCAATAAAATGGCAATACTAGATTCCTCTCTAACACCCACTCTACATGTGTAGTAATTCAATGGATAGTTTATATCCTAATATATGTGATTTCATTTGATTTTCATTACTTTGCCAGTTACCTGCTAAGGCTACCTAATCCAATGGATACTTTTGTACGTTATCCTTTCTATGACAAGACAGATGCCCACCACATCCTTCTGAACTTACAACTCTTGCTTTCAACTTTTTTGACATTTCTCTCTTTTGGTTTTCTCCTTTCTTTATCCATGGTTCAAATGAGGTGTCACTGTTCTTCCCCATTGAACACAAGCATAAAGATCACACGGCACAGTAATTTTTAGTTAAGTGGATTTTTTTCTGTCGAATAGCTGAAAACAGAGGAGGAATCTTTCAAGTCTATAATTCCAGTTCCAATAGTAAGCACCTAATAAATGTGTAATTTAGTAATTTGGAAGGCACATAATAAATAAAAATTTAAGACTGAGCATGGTAGTACATGCCTGTAATTCCAGCACTAGGGAGGCCAAGGCAGGAGAACTGCAGGTTCGAGACCAGTACAGGGGGCTGCAGAGATGGCTCAGCTGTTAAGGCACTGCCTGCTCTTGCAGGGAACCATGATTCAATTCCCAGCACCCACATGGTGGCTAACAACCATCTGTAAACTCCAGTTCCGGGGATCCAACGTCTTCTTCTGACCTCCACGGGCACTGTACAACACAGGGGCATTTACACTCATGCAGGCAATACACTCATACACAAAAATTAAAAATATAAATATCAAAAGAAAAAAGAAAAAAAGAAACTAGAAGCAGGGCATGGTAGCACACACCTTGAATTCTAGCACTTGGGAAGCAAGAGCAGGCAGATCTCTGTGAGTTCAAGGCCAGCCTGGCCTACATTGTGAGTTCTAGGCCAGCAGGGGCTACAGAGAGATCCTGTCTCAAAAAGACAAAAATACATATTTATATATATACATATGTACATACATACATAAACCAGAATAGGATAATGATGATGATGATGCATGACTGCAATTCCGGCACTACGGTGGCTGAGGCAGGAAGATTAAAAGTTCAAGACCCAAACTGGATAATGATGATGGATGAGAAGAGGAAGAGGAGGAAGTAGGAGGGGGAGGAGGAAGAAAAGGGGGAGCAGGAAGAGAAGGAATAGAAAATTAAGAATCAGAGAGATGGTTCAGCAGTTAAGAACACTGGTTGTTCTTGCAGAAGATCCGGATTTGCATCCCAGCACCCACATAGCAGCTAACAACTGTCCATAACTCCAGTCCCAGAGGATCTGACAGACTCTTCTGACCTCTGCGGGCATTGTAAGACATGGGTGCACTTACCAAATGCAGGCAATACACGCATACACGTAAAATAAAAATAATAGTCCGGGCGTGGAGCACACCTGTAGTCCCAGCACTTGGGAGTCAGAGGCAGGCGAATCTCTGTGAGTTCAAGGCCAGCCTGGTCTACATAGTGAGTTCTAGGACAGCTGGGGCTACAGGGAGACCCTGTCTCAAAAGGACAAAATAAATAAATAAAAATAAAAAATAAAATTAAAAAAAATCAGATTCTGTAATAAAGTTATATTAAACTGTGAGGTCATTCATAGAATAGAGTATATTGTTTAAATTTCCTAAGGAAAAAATTCACAACCTTCAAAACATACCTAGCCACTGCTGCTGAGATATTTCACACCAGTATTTTCTCACTGAAAGAATGTCTTTGAGGAGTATGTTGCTACAATCAGCTCCATAAATAGTACCATTAGATGAATCTTTCACTGTATCCACGACATAATTCAAGAGTTCTTGACATTTTAGCCTGGGTGCTCCTATTTTAAAATAAAATGGAAAACAACAACATACAAATCTTAAAGAATCCCTGGAGTGGCAACTTCTTTAAATGATTCCATTTGGGAAAGTACTCTTAACTTACTCCTAATAGAGCAGGAACTGGTAAACTCTATAACCCATGAGTAAAATCCAACTCATTGGCTATTTTTTAAATAAAGTTTTATTGGGACACAGTCATGTTCATGTAGTTACTACTGTAAATGACAAGAACTAAGTAACTGCCAAATAATATACGGCCCAAATATATAAAAACATGTGCTATATGGCCCCTTTAGAGATAAACTTTGCCAACTAGTGAAGAAATACATAGCAAAAATAAACATTAACTTTTATAGTTAATACTCATAATTTCTGGCATTAGACTTAAGAGCACCCAAAGTCTCTTGGAATTTCTATAAAACATAATTAAAATAATCTGAAGTTATTCTAATTATATTCTACTTACACTGAAAAGTAAAATTATTTCCATGCCCAGCATACAGATGGCATATAAATAGATAAGACTGTCATTTTAACAGTACAAGATTTAAGATTCTGAAACTTCAGTACTACTTTATTTGTATCCTTGAAGGTCACAAAATTACATTTAAAAACAATTTAAGCTAGGTGTAGTGGTACATGCCTATGAATCTTAGCACTTCAGAGGTAAAGGCAAGATCAGGAAGAAGGTTTCATCCTTTACATACCAAGTTTGAGACCAACTTGGGCTACATGAGACCCTGTCTCAAAACAACTAGGAAAATATTTTTGGCCAAGTATGGTGATACGTACCTATAATTCCAGGTAAAGGCATATTTTCATCAAATTATAGTGATGTCAAAGCTAAAATATTATTGTTTCTTCGATACAGACTTAAATTTGAAATTAACTTATGAGTAAAATTCATTATGAATAAATATTAGGTCATCATTTTCTTAATAATAAGACTAGTTATATTCAGAAGTATCATGCTATGATAAACACTGACAGTATGGCAAAACCACTTTTATTTATGGTTTATAATTTTCGGCATCTGTCTAGTGGTGATTGTATACCCATGTGATCCTTTTCTATTATGCCCTGCAAATCTCTCTCATATTCTTAAAAGAGTTTCCTACCTATAAGTTTATTATGAGATATTTAAGGAAATTTGAGATTTCTTGAAGGAAAATTATGAGATTTTTAAGAATTCTTTTATATTCCTACAAAAAGCCCACGAATAACAGGAGATACCAAATGAAGTTGGGTTAACTAAATAAATTAATATTAGGATAAAATCTTATTTTTCTCCATCCTTTATCTCAAAATACTCTCCTCCTATACCAAATTTACAAAATGTTTTCATTTTTTAAAAAAATATTTATTATTTTTTTACTTTATATGTATGCATGTATTGCCTGCATGTAGGTAAGTGCACCCGTGTCATGCAATGCCCGCAGAGGACAGACGAGACTGTCGGATCCCCTGAAACTGGAGTACAGATAGTTGTTAGCTGCCACGTGGATGCTGGGATTTGAACCTGGGTCTTCTGCAAGAACAGCCAATGTTCTTAACCGCTGAGCCAGCCCCTATAAAACGCTTTAAAAATTGTGATGAATTGGATTTTTTTCCACAAAACAGTCTCTTTCAGCAAAGAGTACAACTCAGTGGTAGAGTCTCTGCCTAGCATGCGCAAACCGTGGGTTCAATACCCATAACTACCAAAAAAAAAAAAAAAAAAGTAACTAAAAGGACAGGTAGGTGGGTTGTCTACAGGTTTTAAGAAAGTTCATGGAACTGTTTTGTGTAACTAGGTTTTCTATTCTCTAGGCTCCATGGTCTGTCCAGAAACACAAAGGAATGAATCATATTTGCTTTCTTTCAGTTTCTCCTTAGCTATTTCCTTACCCACTAGTTTTTCAATGTCTATTTCTTCATCCTACTTTGGTAGCAATAGTAAGAGTGTCTGGTAAAATTCCGACATATTTAAATTGCTAACAAAACTTTAATTTATGAAAATAAATAAACAGAAAACTGAAGTGAGTCAAGATGATAACAGGCCCCTGATTCTGCCTTAAGTTTAAAGGACTTTATGTTACAAAATCCAACTTCATAGCTAGCATCCAAATAAAAAGGACTTTTTAACTATTTAAATGCTCTTGCACTGATAATTTTACTTTCTTGTAAATCAACATACTGGTAGATTTTTTTTCAGGGCCTGTAGCAAGCATTCTGTCACTGAGCTAAATCCCCAACCCACTATCGGCACATTTTTAAAATGTCATCTCCATTAGTTTTGTAACTAAAAGCATTTTTTTTCACCAAGAGGCAAAATTATAAGCTACCAAGGTTTCCAGTAGGCTACAAAAGTAATATTGTGTCATTCACTCAGTAAGTACCTAAGTACAAATTAAAATTCCAGCATTTTAAGTCAACCATACAATGTTTAACTGAATATAAAGGTAGAACATGGAGCAAAGGCAAGGGCAGAGCATTTCAGTGTGGCTTCTTTTTGTCTCTGCTTGAGTTTCTATAGTATATCTATCCACATAAAATAACATCTCAAAGGTACCCATTTTTCAAAATTACTGTTCTTTAGGCTCAATCTGAGATACTCACTAAAAACCTACTAAAAACCTACTAAATCTTTACCACCATCTCGATTTCCCTGACTTTTTGTTTTTTTGCTTTATTTTTATTTTACCTGTATGCATGTATTACATGTATTGCCTGTATGCATGCAAGTGCACCTGGGTCGTGCAATGCACTCAGGCAGCCAAATGCCCATGGAGGACAGAAGAGGATGTCAGATCCCCTGGAACTGGAGTTACAGATGGTTGTTAGCTGCCATGTGGGTGCTGGGATTCGAATCTGAGTCTTCTGCAAGAACAACCAGTGATCTTAAGCCCCTGAGCCATCTCTCCAGCCCCAATTTTCCTGATTTTTAAGTTACAATTATGTGTGTATATGCTATGTGAACACGTGGAGGTCAGAGGACAACTTGCAAAACTGGTTTTGTACTTCCACCATGTAAGTACCAGGGATCAAACCTGGGTCATCAGTTTGGTGACAAGGGTCATCTTGACGGCCCAAGACAGGCTTAAATACTCTTAAAACTGCTTAGCCTCAAACTGTATGTTCAGTCAGTAAGTTTATACTTCTGCCTAAGTGCTAAAGACATACAAACAAAAGACTCCCCAAAAATGGGGAGAGTTGAAACAATACATTTTAATCTTCCCATTTCTGAGATTCTATCATTTTATGCCTTATAAATTCCTCCAAATTTTGAACCTATACTATTAAAACTCAGTATATGTGCCAGAAATTACACTTGGCACTTAATTTTTATGCTATCATATTGAGATCAAAGTTATGCTATGGAAAACTACTAAACCACTTATGTATAATATATGTTGCTTACTTTTATTTGCACATTTGATGAAATATCTGACCAAACTGCTGAGCTCTTGCATCTTCTTCTGTCTGGAGGTTTGTGTTGAGACTGATACATTGGATTTTGCTGTTCTCAGACATTCTGTTTCTTTTTGAATATATTTCTGTAAAAATCTTCAAGAAAAAAGGTCATATACTCATTGATGCTTAAATGTTTATCATTTCAAAAACTCTTGAATGCCATCACAAGCAACATCATTTAAACCACATTTATTTGTTCTGCGACCCAGATAAATGAAACAATCTCTTTTTCAAAGTCTAACTTGTGCGACATGAAGTCCAGACTACAAAGCTCTTAATTTTATTCTCATTTTATCATCAGAAGCTCACAATGCTACTATGGGCGCTCAACAAAAACAAAACAAAACAAAAAACTAGCTTTCAGATAACGTTAATTTTTCACTTCCTATACAAGACACTTAATATACAATGAACAAAATTTTTAAAGATACAACATAGCATCACAGAAGTAAAAATGAGAGAAAAGTTCTAGCTCTAGGGGATCAAACACCTACTTCTAGTCTCTACAGGCACTGCGCAACATGGGTCCACTTACATACATTCAGGCAAGCACATACACATAAAATAAAAATAAATCATAAAAGCCAAGCATGGTGGTGTGTGCCTTTAATCCCAGCACTTGGGAGGCAGGCGGGTTAGTTGGAGGCCAGCCTGGTATACATAGTGAGTTTCGGCCAGGTGGGGCTACAGGGAGACCCTGTCTCAAAAAGACAAAAAATTAATTAATCAAAGAGAGAAAAATAAAGAAAGTAAAAAAGTTCAAATAAAATACCTGAAAACAGCATCCCAATTTAAATATTTTCCTTGTTTGGAATCTGAATGCCGATCTAAATGGTGAACCGTTTCAGGATCCTGAATCAAGCGCTTAAATTTCTCCACTTCTTTCTGAAAATGAAAAACGAACAAAATAACATAGTGTTATCTAAAATATTTGTTTCAAGAAAAACCTGAATTGGAGTAATTCACTACCCTTCGTTCTGTAGCTCTATCGTGTTCCAGCTGCCGGCAGCAGATAAGCAGATCATTAAGTGCTAGACTCATGGCTTACGACTTCAGAAGACACATCCTCACCTGTGAAAACAAATATGAATGTGCAATTATTTCACTGAATTATTTTTTTCGTGCTGAGGACTGGCTCAGGGCCTCAAGCATACTAAGCATGTGATCTACTATGGAACCACACTCTATTAACATTATGGAATTATTTTAGACTACAATATTGCTATAGATTTAAATCTGTACATCCAGAGGCACACTGTGACCAAAGGCACAAGAATTTTTCTTACTATTTACAAATGAGATTTTTCCTTTAGTATATCTGTGGTTGTTTAAATGAGAAATGTGGGGGCTGGAGAGATGGCTCAGCGGTTAAGAGCACTGGCTGCTATAGCAGAGGACTCAGATTCAATTCCCAGCATCCAATAGCAGCTAGCAACCATCTGTAACTGCAGTTCCAGAGGATCCACTGCCCCCTTCTGACCTCTGTGGGCACTGCACAACACAAGTGCACTTATATACATGCAGGCAATACACTCATAAACATAAAATAAAATATTTTAAATAAGAAATGTTCCCCATAGGGAGGTAATGAAATCTTTAGGAGGTATATCCATGCTAGAGGAAGTGTGTCACTGGGGATGAGCTTTGAGCTCATAGGCCCTACTCAGAGGTCACTGTCTGCTTCACCTGTGGCTAAAGATGTGATCTCTGTTCAGCTCCTACTGCCCTGCCTGCCGTGCTGCCTTTGCCTCCCTACCAGGACAGGACTCTGAAACCAGAAGTCAAAATATAAACTGTCCCCTAAGTCTCCTTTGGTCATATTCTATCAAAGCAACAGAAAAGTAACTAATACAGTACCAAAACCATGCTCCAGTCTTCAAATGTGTCTCTGTTTGCATTAGTAAGAGAAAGTATCCTTTTTTTGAAGAAAAAAACAGTATTATCTACATAAATAGAAAATGTAGCTGGGCATGGTGATGCATGCCTTTAATCCCAGCACTCAGGAGGCAGAGGCAGGCAGATCTCTGTGAGTTCAAGGCCAGCCTGGTCTACATAATGAGTTCTAGGACAGCTGGGGCTACAGGGAGACCCTGTCTCAAAAAGACCAAAAAAAAAAAAAGTTCACTCACTGATAGATGTAAGCAATATCTGCTTCTTATCTACTGTGTTCACGGTTAGAGACAGTTAGAAAAAAATGAACCAAACTGACAAAAATCCTACCCTCCTGGAGATACATCTAGATGGTAGAGACAATAAACATATTAACGCACAGTTCCAAACTGTGATCTATGCCTCCAAGAAAACAAGAGAAAGTAACAGCAGAGCTGAGTTGTGTGGCACACTGCACCAGTGGGGAGGCAGAGGAAGGTTAAAGTCATCCTCAGCGAGATCTGGCCTAAGAGCAGACTGAGCTACATGAGACCAAACCTCAAAAATTTTTTAAAAGAAAACAAAGGAACTGTTGATCATTTTATATAAATTGTCGTATACTGGGGGCTGGAGAGATGGCTCAGTGGTTAAGAACACTGGTTGCTCTTGTAGAAGACCTCAGTTCATGCATGACACAGGTGCACTTACCTACATGCAGGCAATACATGTATACACATAAAATAAAAATAAATAAAATATTAAAAAATAAATAAAATTGTCATATATCAAAGGTCATAATGAAGCCAAGAGCTGAATGAACTGATGCCAGTTACAGGAAGAACTAAAGGATGGACATTCTAGGGAAGGAGGTCAGCAGAGAGGAAGGGCTCGAAAATAGAAAAGAGTGTGTGTGTTGGAGGAACTAAAAAAGGCCAGAAGTTAGCTGGATTCGGCAGCATTTATAGTAAAACTGGGAAAATACAGAGATTAGCAGGGCCCCACCCAAGAATAGCATGCAAATTCCTAACGCACTCCATGTTTAAGAAAAAACAAGGACAGAATGAGAGTAAGACAGCTATCAGATGAACTCCATTTAGACATTAAAACAGTCTAAGGAGGTTCCACTCCCAACATGCAACTGAAATATCTTCCTAAAGAAAAGTCCCTGGGGCTAGAGATGGCTCAGCAGTTAAGAGCACCTAGTTGGGCTTGGTGGCGCACACTTTTAATCCCAGCACTCGGAAGGCAGAAGCCGGTGGATCTCTGTGAAGCCCGCCTGTTCTCCATTAGTGAATCCAGGCCAGCTGTGGCTACAGGGAAACCTTGTCTCAAAAAAGACCAAAAAAAAAAAAAAAAGAGCACCAACCAGCTGTTCTTGCAGAAAACTCTGGGTTCAAATTCCAGCACCCACATGACAGCTAACAACCATCCTAACTCTACTGCCTGGGGATCCAACAGCCTCTTCTGTCCTCCACAGGCATTGCACTACATGGGTGCAGTTACACACATGCAGACATAACACTCATACACACAGAAAATAAAAATAAATAAAAACTTTTAAAAATCCTAGGAGTTGACAAATCTAACCTCTCAGATTTCAATCAAGTTGATCTCTGTGCAAATTTGGCACTGATAGACTCTAACTCATCTTCACAGAAAGAGCCCTGCCTCTAGGTCTGTTATTTGTGACTAGTGGTTAAGAGCACAGGCACAGCCAGGCATGGTAGCACACACCTATAATCCCAGTAACCGAAGAGGCTCAGATTATAGGTAGCACACACCTATAATCCCAGTAACCTGGAGTACAGAGGCATGACA